GCCAGTCCCGCTTCAAGACGCAGCCGGTGACCTTCGACGAGATCCAGGAGGTGGAGGAGGAAGGGGTGTCCCCGATGGAGGAGGAGAAGGCCAAGAAGTCCTTCCTGCAGAGCCTGGAGTGCCTGCGCCGCAGCACGCAGAGCCTGTCGCTGCAGAGGGAGCAGCTCGGCAGCTGCAGACTGAGGAACAGCCTGGACTCCAGCGACTCCGACTCGGCGCTGGGGGAGGCGCCGGGGACCGGCCGGCTTTCTCTGCCCTTGTACATGTTATTTTTTAACTCTCCCCAGTGCGAAGTCTGCTGAGTGTGTTCGGGGAGGTGCGCCCGCGCGGGGGCCGCCCCAGGACGCCCTCGTCCGATGGTTAGCAACTCTGATTTTGCACACCGCTCCGCCGGGCCCCCCAGCGCACACTCGTCCACACGCCAACACACTCGCTGAACACTTTTATAATTGTTAGGCGCGGCCATGGGACTTGGGGCGCAGCGCAGCGGCTGCTGCGGCGGGAGGATTGATATTTATTTTTGCACTGCGAAGGCCGAAGGTGGTTATTTAAGGATCTTTTTACCTGGGTATGTGTGAGGCTCCCAAACGGAGACAAATAAAGTCAATCTATTTGCACAGTGCATTTCTCCAGACTCTTGACTTCTTGCCCCTTCGGGCCCTAGGCTCCCAAGGACGGGCACGTAGAGCAGGAGGTGGCGGGGAGCTCCGAGTGGAGACAGCTCCCGAGCTTCAGCCCTGGAACGATGGAGCGCCCGGTTGCGCGGGTCCCTTCGCTCCTCCGGAGTGCATCTGCTCCCCGCCCTGAGCGCTCCTGCCTCGGCGGTTGTCCCCCAAAGCCAGCGTCGGCTGGAGGGAGCCGCAGAGAGGCAGAGAGGATGGAGAGCTTCTCCTTGGTGCAGGGGACCTCTCGGGGAGGCCTGGGTCAGCTCCCTGCCCCGCCTCTAACTCAGGTGGGCCACCTATCCCCCACCCCACGCTCTTTCCTGGAGGCCTGTGTGTGCGGGGAGCGGGGCGAGGTAGGATGCTAGAGTAGGCAAAGGGAGACCCGTGCGGGGACATCTGGGCGGTGGGACAGGAAGGACAGCCAGGGCCAGAGTGCGGGGCGCTCTCACCTCCGTGTGCAGGTGAATACCCCCACCCCGCGCTGACTCAGCACAGTGCGGGACGCACCTGGGGGAGCACACTGGGGGAGCACACTGGGGGAGCACAGGGCATCTGCTCGGTCCTCGGGCCCCTTCTTGGAGCCCCCTTCGGAGTTCTGCAAGGAGGGTGGGACGAGCTTGGTCAGAGCCTGAAGGGCTCTCTGGTACCCCGAGCCCCACCCCGCCCCAGCCCGCGCCTTTGTTTACAGATACAGAAAGGAGCCCAGCAGCAACCGACAGGTCACATGGCACGTAGTGGCGGGGGCCCACGCACCACGCCCCGCGCCAGTCTCACCAGTACCCTCCCGCCGCTCCAGGCTGTCTTTACTGCTCGCATCCCTGTCTACACTCTTAAGAACTCCGGGTTAGTGTAGCAGTGTCACCCGGCAGCGGGCGGCGACCAGGGTACCAAACATTCAGTTGAGGAGGGCGGGTCTTCACACCTAGGGCCCCCTCCCTGCGCGGTCTGCGTGGTCTTCCCCGGGCTGACCCGGTCCGCCAGGCTTTGGGCGGAGGAGCTCGAGACCCCGGGCGGGCAGTGCTTGTATTCCGCCCTCTGCACCCTGCAGTCCCCGAGCGCCGGCGCCCTCTGGTGGTGGGGGCTGGCGTGCATGGGGTGGCTCAGCCCCACCGAGGAGCAGAACTGCCTTTTCTCCTCACATCGCACCTCGAAACTCTGGGCTCTTCGAAAAAAAGAAAGCAGAGGAAATGAAGCAATGAAACAAAAATAGAACCGCAAGGCCTGGGAGGGGGTGTCCTCCTCACCCATTGGGGGTCGGAGGACAGGCTCTGGCCTTTGCTGCTGGGGTCTTTGGCTCTCGTCCCAGCCCCTGAGAACACTGGCTATTTCAGTCCCCAACCACGGAGTGTTCCGTTTGTGGGGGGGTGATCATGGTGACGGGAGGCCCTTAGAGGGGTGGTGACAAAGGCTGAGGCAGCCGGCTGCCTGCTGGACCTGCGGGTTGGTAGCCACTCCTTCCACCTGGGCCGGAGGGGCTGGGGGAGCTCAGAGCTCAGAACCGCTCCAGCCCTGTGCTGCTCTCCCTTTCTCCGAAGAGACTGACTAGGGGTGACAGGGAGCACCCTAGTCCTTGGAGGACCCTATCCTGACCCTCCTTGTCTCAGCTTTTCAGGATGGCTTCCTCTTTTTTCTTTTCTTTCCTTGTCTTTTCCTTTCTTGATTTTTTCTTTTTCCTTTTCTCTTTCTTTTACTTTCCATTTCTTTTCTTCCTTCCTTTCTTCCTTCCTCCCTTCCTCCCTTCTCCCTTCTCCCTTCTCCCTTCCTCCCTCCCTCCCTTCCTTCCTTCCTCTTCTTTCTTTCTTTCCTCGTTTAAAGAGGTTCTTGCCATAGTACACATGCACTCAGGGCTGGAGGAGGGGGGACCAGAGACAGACAGACACAATGAAATGGAAAGTGAGAAGTACCCCCCCCAGGGGGGATGGCCACACCACAATCCCTTCTCCATTCTCCTCCTGGAATCTTGGGCACACATGCACACACACCTGGCATGTGAATGGTTTTCAAGTCACCGGGTCCAGGACTTGAACCGTGGTTGGCCATGTGGGAGTCCAGTGACATAACCACTATGCCATCTGCTGGTCCTCCTGTTTCTACTCTTCAAGAGCCAGCTCACTCAGGGCTTTGGGGGATAGCATCCTCCACCCCTTGGAGGCTTCTAGATTCTTCAGGCCTGAGACCCTCCCCTCTGGTTGATGAACTCCCTCTTGCCAGCCTTCAGCCCCTAGCCAGCAGAAGGCCTACCCAAAGGGTCTCCTTATGTCATGCTGCCAACCTCAGGGGTTATTGTGGGGACCCTAGCCCACCCCCTGATTCCCCGCTAAGATACCAGCAGGGTCAGTGCTCAAAAGGTGCTTCCGGGGACCAGCAGTTAACGTAATGGATACATCACTGGACTCCCATGTAGTCGACCGCGGTTCGCGTCCTGAACCCGGTGGCTTAAACTCACGCCGGGCGTGTGTGCGTGCGTGCCCAAGATCCCGAGAGGAGAATGGAGGAGAAGGGATTGCGGTGTGGCCATCCCCCCCCAGGGGGTGATTTCTAGCCTTCTGTCTCTCTGTCTCTGTCTGTCTGGCGAGCGCACATGCCCTATAGCAAAAACCTCTCCAAAAAAAAAAAAAGGTGCTTCCGAAATGCTTGCAGCCTTGAAATGAATAGAAGCAGTGAGGAAGCTCCATGCCCATCTTACCTGCTTCCTGGTTTGTGTTTTAAAGTATTTGTACCCTTTATTGCTCAAGAAACATGTGTTCGTTATGACACGAAACAGGTCACTGTACTCCACCATCCAGAGGCGAGGAGGCGAGGAGGCTGCCGTGGGGAGGCCGTGCCCATATACACACGTTGATTTTCTTTTGCCGAATGGGCTTATGCTCTCTGTGCTGCTCTTCAACCGCATTTTTACTTCATTGGATTTGTTTTTATTATGAGTATGTACAGATCCACATGGTGGTTTTTACAAAATCCTGTGGAACAGACACTCCCCGTTTAGCTAGGTCAAGGCCCCACCCTTTAGCCTGAAAGTGACGTCTTCTTTGTCCCAGTTTCTCAGTTGCACCGTAACCACAGTTCCCAGGGTTGAAGCGGGAAGAGGTCTGGCAGCTGTGGTGACTTGGGGAGGGGCCGGTGGGAGATGGCACGGCGTGGGGAGCAGGCTGGGCCCTGGGCTGTGGTCCCTGGCTATACGGGGGTGCTTTCCGGTTCCTGACATCTTTCTCCTGCATAGAGGAAGAGGGAGGGGAGACAGTGTGCGTGTGTGTGTGTGTGTGTGTGTGTGTGTGTGTGTGCGTGTGTGTGTAGTCTGCTGCCAGGTCCCTGTGGGACTGCCTGGGCCCAGGTCTTCCCTGAGCTCTGGCATTCCCAGGCAGCTCTCAGCCCCAAGGAAAGGCAGGTTGGCCTGGGCTGGGCGGTCATGTGGGGGGATAGGAAGAAAGACGTGCACAGTGAGGGGAGCCCCAGGGGTAGCGCGCAGAGAGTGGAGAGGGAGGAGGCTCAGAGACACAGAGAGAATGGGCAGGAAGAGACACAGGGAGGAGCAGAGTCAGGAGCCAGAGACTATCAAGAGACGGGGAGCAGGAGAGGGGAGGAAGCGCTCTGGAGGGTGGGCTTGGCCGGAGCCAGGAGCCTGGAGTCTGGAGTCTGGAGGGGGAGCAGGCGTGTGTCCAGGTGGGTGGGTGGGTGGCAGTGCCCAGCCCTCTGGGTCCACAGGCTCGTCCAGGGAGATGCCTGCTTCCTTCCTGCCCACCTGGGTGATGTGTTTCCAAATGGGTTAGAGCCCAGACGAGGTGAGGTAAAGGGGGCATCCCACTCTGGCAGGCAGCCGCCCCTAAATATGTCCCTGTGGCCCCTGGGGGAAGTGGTCATCAGGATGCTTCCTGGCTGACCCCAAAGCCCACTCAGTCCCTGCAGCGCCATCTTGGTCCTGCTTGGTGTGAGTAGAGGAGGAGGGCTGTCTGCGGTCCAGGGAGCTAGGGTCAGCCTCAGGCCAGGAGCAACCCCCCAAAAGCACATTTGGGCTCTGGAAAGACAGGAGAGAGTGAAGGCCATCACAGCCAGGGGGGCTGCTGGCCCCCGTGCTCCTGGGGTGGGGAGGCCACCTGTCCCACCTTGTGTGGGACCACGTTTTACCGGGGACCAGAGCCACATGGGTAGGCAGCAGGGAGCTGGGATTATTGCAAACCATGATTTCTTTTTTCAAAAACATTTCAAAGCCTGTGCTCTTTCTAGAATAGGAACCCCCATTTCTTACTGTAACCCCTGTGGCAGCCCAATCTGGGCTTCTCTCATCTCCTGCTGCAGGAGTTCTCTGGCTTTGAGCCCAACACCTTCCTGGGCGACGGCCCAGCCCCCATGGCTGCTCCCCCGTGCCTGGCTGGGACACTGAGCCAGAGCTGTTCCTGGAAGGAACATGGCTTCTTTGTGGTGAGCTGGGGCTCAGAGTTCCAGAAGGCTCTGCTGAGGCCTGCCTCCTCAGCTGCAGGGCACTCCCCTGAACCTTCTTACCCTCTGTCCATCCCTGCAGGGTGGGGGCACACTCACAGGCAGCCTGCACACCCTCCCAGCCTCCGTGGCTCCCTCCCCATTTCCTTCCACCCAGGCATGTCTCCAAAGAGACCCCCCACATTCCATCCCCTTTGGGCATCTGATTCCCAGGGGAGGAGCCGGCAGGCCCTTCTCCTCCTGGCAGGAGCCTCATGCCCATGTCCAGGCCTCTCCCTGGGACCCTCACTTGGCACAGGAGGCGAGTGGGCACTATTTTAGGGGGGACAGTATGAGTGTGACACAATTTACCAGACAAATAAGTGCCATGCTGGTCTGCGGGCTTCGTGTTTCTGGGGTGAGGGACTTGTCCTGTTAACCCGGCTGTGCCCAAAGCCATACTGACTGCCCAGGCCCACAGTGCAGATGGCTGACCGCCCCCCGCAGTGGCTCCCCCCCCCCCCAGCCACACAGCCAGTCCTGGGC